TCCGGGCTTTTGAGCGCTTGCACGTGCAAGTGCATCTGTTCGATATCTTGTTGGTGGTGGCGATTGTTCTTTTTTCTTCTTCTTTCTTTCTTTCTTTCTTTCAGGTATCTGGTGGTCCCCCAAGGGTGGACACAGTTCCGATGAATACCGGTACGAGTACCCCATATTTCCAATTAAACGACTTCTAATCGCTTGCCTTTTAAGGCATTGACACGATATCCGGATCAGCTTTTCAAATTCGCAAAACTAAAAATGATCAACAGCCTCGGCTGAAAGGCTTGAGGGGATCGCTAGACGTTCCGGCTGGGGATAAGGTTAACTGCTGTTCCCGATCATCAGTTCTCGAAATCAGCCATCGGATTTCGGAGGTCGCCTTGAGAATTTGAATTAGCTTCCTTAATCAATAGTGTCTACTTGAGCCTTCGGTAAACATGTAAACGTAATCAAGGGTAATATTTGTAAGTATGACAGCATCCAAATGTCCAAGTCGAAGCATGAAGCCGTAGAGCTGAAACATAGCATCACGGAGTGTTCCCTTCTCCGGGCCCCAGGCCTCCAATCGGTTACTATGCCGGTTGTCACGGAAATCGTACAAGTATGCGTTGAAGGGCACAAATATTTCGAAACGAGGAACTATGCAGTCACAAGACTCTGTGAAACAAAAACTATAACAAACAAGGAGTGGAAGTTGATATCCCATTCCAGAGAAACAAGCAAACAAGCAAACAAGCAAATCGAAAAAGAAAAGAAGAAAAAGCTGAAACATTGTACAAGCACAAACTGCGACATTAGTGCGGGCCATAGGGTAGGAGGAAGACTCGTTACAGGACGACTACCTTTTGTGGGGGTCAAATTGCTGATATCGCCAGAGATAGCCGTAGGCGGACAAATTCGGGTAGATCAAGCAACCCCAGAATGCCGAGTGATAGATAATGACATCCATTCCTAGTGAGACGTATGCCCGGTAGGGGGTGCCCCGTAGTTATGATAGCTACAAAATTTAATGTACTGTACTCGTACATATCGCACGCATAACCTCAAGGCTTCCAAAGCCCAAGGCGCTGGCTCAGGCTTTGAACCACCAATACACTGTCGAAGCAATTTAAGGTTTTTTATCAGCCTCAGAAGAGGCTCGACTACCAACCACTTTTTATACGTAAAAAAAATAAAAATAAAAATAAAAATAAAAATCCATGCAACAAGGACATCCCATCCATCCCCTAAATTCGGACCAGTAGGTGAGTTCCCTGGCCATTTGGTATGATAGCCGTAAAAAACCCATCCCTTTTGGGGAGGAGGGTGTTCCCTATTTCGTGGCGATTCCATTAGTCTAAGATTATGGCATGTGTGAAGCGTACTGTCCACTTTCCTCGTCCCAATTCTTTCACAAGAGATGGAGCTTAACCGGTTTGCCACCTATTGTGAGGTTCTCCCCCATCACCCCAATTTCTTGGGTCGTCAGCCTCGCCTTATCATATTTCCACAGGATATCACACTGAAAGCTGACAATAGAAATTTCCACACCTGAATCAGTCTACCGGAGAGATACTTACTTAGATAAGTTACATGCGGATTCAATCGCCAAAGGATACCGGTACCCCCACCCCACTTCTCTCGTCCTCTCTGTCGGTACTCGTACCTCTGGCTACACTACCCCAGCATTTGGGTACACGTACCGTGTACAAGACTGATACGGTATGCTAGTAGACGTCTCCCGGTGAGCCTCCCCCGAGGACTTTCCGGACAATACTATGGTGTCGTGATAATACTATAGTATACAAACGCCCTCCAGCTTCCTTCGCCCACCCGGCAGTGACTGGATACGCATAATAACTCGTAAGCACCGAACAAAGAAAAAAGAGGGGTGGCTAAAATCCCTTTTTTGGTAATTGTGGGATATTTTCAGGCTGCGCAACTTTTGGCGCAGAAAAAGGTTATTCGGGTATGATATCACCCAAGTTGTGTGAACACCGTGTACCACCCCCCTTACCGGTATGATAGTTTAGAATTTTTGAGGCTCGGTGATGCCGAGCTGAAGTGGTTTAGAACCATAGCCCTATGTCGACTCCACATGGATTTGAGAAAAGAAGATTGCAGGGTAAGAATTGATGGAGTAAATTATTTCTGAAAGCCAAATGTAGAGGAAGGATTGGCGGACTGAACACTATTATCATAGTAAGTTAGCGCTTATTTGTTCCATCCGCGCGTGAACCAGACAGTAGTTTTGCAAGTTCTCTTTTTTTCTTTTTTCTTTTTCGCAGCACCAGCAGCCTCTAGTCTATGGACGGACGGGTGGGTCCTAAAACCTGAACATACATGTCTACTTGTATATGGATGGTTGCCCACATAAAAGAAAATTGTCCAATCAATACTCATGATAAATACCGGTAATAGGATTCCCAGATAAGGCGAAAGAAAAAGAAACCCCACTAGCCCGACCCCTGCTCATCGTTGATTGTTGATTGAGGTTTTGTCCCCCCCCTGTCGACAACTCAGCCAGTCCGTCCGGGAGAGCTTCGAAGAACGAGTTTGTTCCCGGTAGGGCAGTCTTACAGGACCCCACTTGATCAGCTTGTCTAGGGCTATAATCGCGCCTCTCTCCACCTGACTCCTATCGCTCTTAAAAGCGCTTTTGAATACCCTTGATTTTTTTTCCTCATTTTTTTCCTTTTTCAAAACTAATGTTTGGTTGGTGGTCTGGCGTCCGACCAATCATCTCACTCCAAGCGCTGTACCGACTCGTAAACTGCCGGTTCAAGATTGCCGGTTGGAATCCAATGAGCTTACCGCTCTCTGAAGCCAGTCCGAGTATTCGGGGGGGTTCATTGAGAATGATATCGTATGTACGAGTATGTACAGCAAAGCAGATCGAGGTCAGTTCTGATTCAGCGCCCGCCATCGCGCTGGATACGATAGCCGAAGTGTCGCGACAAATCACAAAAGACTAGCAGGGAAGTGATCCCTCCCGCTTATCATAGAGACTCAAGTTAGCCTCACAAAACCCCTATAATTTAAACGGTTATACGACACCTCCTGCTTACGTTACTCTTTGTCCAAGGGAGAACATGCAAGCATAGAAACTCGCATCGTTTGGTACGACTGAACGCAAGAGGGGGATAGGGGGAGTGTAATAACACAGTAACTCATATCCCGCCTGATACAATCGCAGCTGATACAATGGCAGCTATATCCGCATCATATAATTTTACGAGCTCGGCAGTTTCCCTAAGACCCTGCCGGTCAATATGACGATAGTTGGCAAAGGTAATCTAACTCGACATCAAGAAAGAAAAAATTTGATAAGAGACTGAAAGGAATGGCCTGATCTTTGTGTGTATTAACGGAAAAACAAAGCAACTTATCGGGTTGCCATTAAGGCGCGCCAGCCGATGTGCATCGACAACCTGACACTGAAATCCAGAGCAATGCGGAAGGTAGAAGGATGTTTCCTGGCCTCGGAGAGCGAGCCGTAAGCGCAGATACTGTAGCGCTAGACGCGTGTAGCTGAAAGAAGTTAAAACCTCGCGCCAAAGATGGTAGTAATAATCTTCTTGAATGTGATGCTGGATGTTAGTGGTTGGCATGGCAGGTGCACACAACCTAGACGGTGAGAGGCCCTGAGGGCTGGTGTGCGCATACCACACATTGCCCCAAGCCAACCACTCCCACCTTCTCATCCACCCACCTATTCGCCAAAGTAGTTTCAGCAAAAACCCTCTGGTGTGGAAGCCAAAGCGTCATGCAAGTGTGAGCAGACGGGGTGTTTTCTTTCTGTTTTTTTTTTGAAGTGCCCGATCCAATTGTTCTTTCCTCTTTCTCTCCTATTCTCATCCCACAATCTCTGAGCTTGGCCTTTCGCTTTCCCTTTCTCTTCCCTTTCTACATACTCTATCCCGACGTCCTATCCTACCTTTCCTCCGCGTTTAGCTGCGCCGCCCACAGTACCGGTACCCTTATTCCTGAAGACTCTCGCAAAAAAAGGATGCCTAACAGAAGACCGTTGTCGTTGCACGAGGGACGCCCGACAACCCCCATGACACCGATGACACCGATGACCCCCACACTGGTAAAAGACGATATGAACTTCCTTGAACTGTGTGAGACGTTCAGGAATTACTGTAAGTGCCGAATTATTTCTAACAGCATCGCAGGTTCCCTCATAACCCCCCCCCCACCCCTGCTACATATCCTACTTATGCTATATTAAGCTTCTTTACTGATAATTCACGGAATTTATTTTTCTCAACGCAAAATAATTAGTCGTTGAACACATCGATACCCCGCAGAATATGAGCACTTTGAAACTCTCTCCAGTGATGACCCGTCTCTGCAACCAGTTGTCCGAAAAGGGTACAGCTTCCTATCTGTGGCGTTCTCCCGCAACCAGTTTTTGCCTTAGAGACCCATGTTATTGCCTTCATTACATTTTACACTGACATACTCGGCATTTTTTACATGCAGATCACAATCCGGCTACCGTCTCGGCCTTGCTGTGAGTGAATTCTTCCATCTTAATTTTTAGCCTACCGAGAAATCCCAAACGGGCTGTTTTTTGCCCCTCTTGGATTTTTGTTTATTATTACTTTTTCTAACCGGTTGAAACTCACCGTTATCTGGTTCTGATTCTATTTTCCTCGAGTAGCTGGTGCAAAGCTCATTTTGACGCCGAAGAAGATCATTCCGGTGGCCATGGCTTGGGCGGTAGCAGGGGTTTGGCTTGCGAGTTTGTAGCTTCTGATTTGTTGACATCCCTCTCTGCAAACGAGGCTCTTGAGTACCTGTGCTATGAGCTACCATTGGTGGGAAATGATGATGATGATGGGAACAACTCTGCAGGGGACGAAGCAGCCGGACTTTTAGGTGGTCGTGACCGCCGCAATTTTTCCTCTCCCGACCTCGAAGCCGATAGCATCGCCTCGTATGCAGGGTTAAACGCCCTAGAAATTGCTATTCTGGCAGATGCAAAGAAGTTTCTCTCGCATCGACCGGTGCGTTTTAACATGGGCCCCTTCCTGCCAGGCTCTCTAGAACACCTTGGGTTAATAGTTTTTTTAGGTAGAGCGCGTGATAAATGGAATGTAGGTTTACTGGCGACATAAGGAAAGTAACTTCCGTGCTAATGATGGAATGAAAGTTGGGAGGGAAGGATCTCCTTCTGGAAGACGCTTGATGTTGATGGCTCCAAGAAACCCCACTTCTACAACAAGAGGTAATGAACCTGGCTGCTTGTCTGCTTCGTAGATCGTCTGACCATCTCCAAAATTCGTAGGAGGGCAGATCCATTCTGCAGACTTAGGGTACCCAAGTATCAAAAAGCCTTCGAGGCATTCTTCTTTGCCGTATTTCTTGCATTGTATTACGGCGTGCTGATACAGAGAGACCCCTACCATATCACTGGACTAGAGGCAGCATTGATTGTGTTCTTCGTTGCCTTCGCCGTTGATGAAATTTCCTCCATTAGGGATGCCGGCACGGCTTTCTACACAGCTGACTTTTGGAGCTTGTGGGACATTTGCATTATCATAATTGGAATAGCGTTCCTCATCTGGAGTAAGTGGGGGGGATTTCACTTATTTCAAATATCTGAGTAATTGATACTGATATTCTGCAGGAATTGTCGGGGTAGTCAAGGATAACGACGAAATTGTTGATACAGCTTTTGATATTCTTTCACTTGAGGCGCTGCTCTTGATACCCCGGTATGTAGAAAGACGAACATCAATCAGTGAACGAAAAACGATATAGGGATTTTTTAACACATTTTACCGCAGCGTTTGCTCATTGCTTTCGATGAATCCGTATTTTGGTATGTATCTCCCTGCTTGCGAACTTCGGTTCGAGCCCTTTCATCTCCAACTTCAAGCACTGACCAGTCCAAACCCTCCGTAGGTGTCTTGATACCCTGTCTAAAGCAGATGACAAAAGATTTCCTAAAGTTTCTGATTTTGGTAAGATATGTTGGCTCTGCCACTTGAAAACTACTTTATTATTTTAATAGAACGCGCCGGAAGTTTGGGTGCATTCGCTAATACATCTGCCATCTCGTTCAGGTTATGATTCTCTATCTCGGTAAGCAGCATCAGATGTAGTTGCAGACTCTCGCTTGATCCGACCCGCCAATAATATAGTTTAGGCTTCTTAACCACGTTCTCTCTTCTGGCCAGGGAGTCTTTTACACTTTCCGAGATGTCCTGGATGTTAATTAAGGGTTAGGCCTTGTCGTGTTCTTTACGAGCAACTAACTATTCACTGTAAATAAGCATGCTGACTGGTGTTCTGTAGTCTTCTTTGGTTCGGTAAGCGCTGCCTCGACAGGGGTGTTGACCGAGATTAATGCTTTAGTGCTGATCACTCGTCTAATGACCTGATTAGAGCTCGGTTGGATTTGTGAGTGGGAAACTGCTGAACTCCCCCAAGCCTGGTCAGGACCTAATCAATCAACTAACGCGCAAAAAACTCGATTTACAGGACGCAATGAGGGAGGTATGGATTAGGGGATCGGGATTCGATGGGCTCCGCGTCTGCTGTGCCGCAAACGATGCTAACACACGCGCGGCAGATATCTCCTGTTTTGGGTCCCCCACTAATGGTCGGTAGAGTCTGCGAGGATTGCTCAACTACTTGCCTCCAGAAGCTAATGCGTGCGGGGAATCTACAGTTGATTTTCGTCACATTAACGAACATTCTCTTGATCACATCTCTCATAAGCTTGCTATCCAATAGTTTGACAAATGTAAGAACATGATGGCTCCCTCCTTCGGTACTGTAGAGTAGAACATTCCCTAACAGCCGACAGATGATGAATAACGCCCGGTACTGCTTCGGCATTCCTTTTGCACTCGCCCTTTTATGTTATTTTCTTTTTTCCCTTTACGAGGGCTAACAAATATGCGTGTGTGGTATCACAGGGAGGAATATTTGTTCATGTGAGTTAACAGTTAACCGCTATCGGGGGCTTGGACGATTGTTGCTCGGCTCACAAAAAGTTTGATTGGCGCGTCAGGTTTTCAATTACAGTAATGGAAGCCGCAACCAGCAACAGACTCGTTGTTTTTTATCCTCCAATGGTAATCGCCTAAGCCAGCCTTCCTTTTTGAAAATCGAGTTCAGGTTGTAACGGTTACCTCCCCACAGAACTTGCTCTCGCTCATTTTATTACGCCCGCTGAGACTTGTCCTATCGGCTGGTAGGATGCGAAAGTGGAGGATCGCGCTTCTCAAGTTCTCACACTTTCCATTCGTTTGTTTCCCCCTCTCCCCTCACTTGTCCCCTTTAGGCCCTTTAAACGCGCAAACCCTTCTGTTACTCTGGGAAAAAAACTAAACATAGCGCCAGGTCGCGGCAATCATGGCCTACGAGTACCTCTGGCCGGATAATCAGACGCGCTACACTGCAACTGCGTGGGGTCCGGGCGCCAGTTCTAAACGGATGTCTATGAGGGAAGGGTTGAAGTCGTTTGGTCGACGACCCGACCGGCTCCAGGAATGGTCGGGGCGCTTAGGTGGTGGTAGGCTGGGGTTAGGCGGAGCTGGCAGCCAGGTTGGCCCTCAAGCTGGTCCTGCGCTCGTCAGTTCCGCGAGCAGTATGCGTATGGATTTCGACGGAGAGAGTGCGTCAAACCTGAAGGCTTATGCCAACCAGATTGACGAGCACGGGAATGAGCTGCACCGGATGAGGACTACTATCGAGCAGTTGAGCCGCAAGCTCGACGAGGTTCTTTCTCAAAAGAGTCCGTAAAGGCTGGGAGCTCGAGGGTTGATTGCCATCCCACTTTGGAGAAGTTGTTGTACCAAATTAAAAAATATTATTGAACCTAAACAAGAACTATGCCCAGAACAAGGCGTGTGCCGCAGTATGCATCGACTGTAGTGGCTAAATCGGAGCATTTACGCTTGCATAATTTTGTCTACCCGTTCTTGAGGGTTGCGTTGGCGCCGGCGCGAAAGGCTCACCGCGCTACCATGCTTGATAAAGCCCTCTTAAATGCTGCATGGAGCAACACTTGAATTTCTTGGAGTCACAATCAAAGCTCGCAGCGCGTCTGACAGCTCGCCCGATAATCCAGGTGGATATTCGCGGTCCTCCCTTGACTACCAGTATTCCACCCACCCACCCACCACCACCCTTTTGAGGCTGCGATGACAGGGTCTCCCAGACCCCGCCGCGTCTGAGCGGGCGCCGAATCGACCACACCCCACGAGTCGACGGTCTTCCCGGTGAACAGCTATTCCATCCCTACCACTAATACTGAAATCCATGGTTCTTGGTGGCCATATCTCCTACCCTCGCCACATTCTCTCTATGCCAGCGAATCATAGGCTTTCGTTCTTTGATCCCGTCTACTGGGATCGTTGAGAGGCTTAAATCACCAAGATTCCCAGCAACTTTCCGAGCTTTTCTGCCTCCCCCCCATAGAACAGATCAACTTTCGCGGTACTCGACCGGTAGGGATTTATAACTGACCCCAGTGAACCACCTTTTCCAACCTCGTTACCCAGGGCAATATTCCGAATACAAAACCAGAGGCCCAGAAGCCGAATTATATTTTAATTCCAACTCCCCCAGAAGGAAAAATAAAATAATACATACATATGGGCCCTTCCCACATTCGAGTTCCGTCCCCCTCAGCGTCTTCCTTTCATGAATCAATGTCGACTCCAGGACACAGAGATTCTCACGTATACGTGACACCCCAGCAAAGCCCGGCTTTAGGTTTCGGCACACCTCCAATGTCGCATGATAATAATTGGGGGCGGGACACCAGAGAGTCAACACACTCCTCAAGCGTTCATTCTGTCTCTCCCGCCCTTGGACAGCGCCAGCTTCACGACCATTCCCACGTTAGATCTCGTCACCAACACCACCACCACCAACACCACTCCTTGCCTTCCCCGCCGCAACAGGAGCACTCATTTACCACGATGCCTTCCGAGTTCCACGACCGTACAAATCCTCCCCTCTCCCCCCCAGCTTCGGATGGCCTTATGTCGCCCATGAGCCATACCCACGACTTCCAGGACAAGATTCCCATGGACCCCAATCTCCCAACAATGTGGATGTCGAACGCCTTTGGCATGAAGGCGGACAGTGACGACATGTCATTGCCCATGCAGGACCATTCTGTCACGGCCTCACCGCCGCCGCTCTTCATTGAGGACATCCTTCGCGCCCAGGACAACCATAGCATGCAGGGAATGGGAAATGGATTCATGGACGAGCACGATTTCCAGGAGCACGGCTTGAGCGGACCATCTCCTATGAAGCGACCTCGGGACGAACTTTCCTCTGTTGTTGGATTTGGAGGTCAGTTCCATTCGGGTGCGGCAGGTACCTCTGGCGTCAGTAGGGTCCGTAAGAAGCGCCATTTGACCGAGCCCAGCGAGGCCAATTTTCACTGCACCAAGTGCGGGAAATACTTCTCGAGGATCTGGAACTACAACGCGCACTTAGAGACCCACAACCCTCACCGACCCAGACCTCACGTTTGCCCTGTCGACGATTGCAAGAAGGCTTTTGTCAGACGAACCGACTTGACCAGACATCAGCAATGTGTAAGTCCCATCTTTCGGAATCATTCGCCTGATTCAATTCACTAACCAAAGCTTTCAGGTGCATGCTAAGGATAAGAAATTCCGCTGCGAACTTTGCAACAACATGTTTGCCCGCAAGGACACTCTTAGAAGGTAAGCCCTACCCTTTTCCCATGCTTCGCAGGCATTGCGATAGATTTCTAACATGCCTTCACCCAGACATGAAGATGATGGTTGTCCAAAGCGCGTCGATATCGCATCCAGAGGATCAAAGAACAAGCCCATAGTCTGGAACTCGCAAGCACTCGGTTTCTACAGCGCAATGCAGCGCCGCGACGAAGTACTCCCAAACATGACTGCCTATGACCCCCAAATGCGACCAAATCACTACGATAACGGAATGTCCTCTCATCTCCCTCCTCTCTCGGACATCGTTCCAAAGACTCCATCATCAGTCCTGTGGGGCTAAGCACACCGTCCTTCTAGGGATCGTTGTTTCTTGTACAATCTTCTTTTCCTTTTTCCGGTGCCTTGAAGTATTGCAAAGGGTATTTATTTAGAGGCGCAATTTTGTTTTTTCATTTTGGCCTGGGTATTTTCCTCATAGTTTCATACCACTTGGTTTTTATTTTTTTTATTTTTTACCCTTGTTCAACTCTCTCGCTTTCTTTCCCTTCTCATTCTCATTTCTTCTCTCTTCTTTCCCAATTATTCCTTTTGTCATAGTTCTGCGCGGTAAAGGAAAAAGGGAAAACGGGGTCGGCTGGCTTTTTGTTTTACTGGCTCTAAACGACTGGCTCAGTCGTTGTGAGCAAATGTCTTGCTTGTCCATATTGTCGAGCGCAACATTCTACGTCATTTATTTAGGGAAGATATGGAGTTCTTGAAATAACAAAATCCAATGCATTTATGGAAATTGGTTTCCGTCTTGGAGGCTCCTCCTCTCCCCAATTTTTCCGGGGCCAAATCTCATCGTACCGTACTGTAACTTCGTACCTTGCGGTCCTTCGCCGCCAGAGTACAGTTAGAGATCTTAGGGCCCTCGGATCTACAACGTTGACCAACACACCCTGTCCCACGCTATAACCCGCAAAGCCAACCTACCCGCTAACGAATTTCATCTTTATTTATTTTTTTCTTTCCCTTCACACACCACGCCCATCCAACCTGCAGCGTGGTGACAAAGAAGGGAGTGAGATAGCTGGCGCTTAAAGGCAACCAGCAAACAATAACCGGTAGTGTTTAACGCCGGCAAAAGCAAAGAAGGAGAAAAAAAAAATTAAAAAAATATTCGCTTTGTGATAGAACCGTAATCAAATCAAATTAATATCAATGTGCTCCACGAGTAGAAGTAAATACGAGTAGTTCTCTGCACTATGACCTAGTCTAGAGAAGGAGAGAGAGAGAGAGAAAAGTGATGCCCCCCCCCCATCACTATCAGCGAGTCGGCAGAGGCATTAGCAGCGTTGAGATGGAAAATGAAAATATGACTCGAAACCCTGAAGCCTGGTCGAGGGGCTTTGCTATGGGAGGAAAGTGTGAAGGGGGGTGATGCAGTAGGCAGTGGTCCAGCTTTAGAAAGGGAAGAGACTAGCGCAATTACAAAGACATGCCAATATGCTGACTTGAGCGCAGCTAGTGTGCTTCTGTACTCGTATACTTTTGACTTACGGTAGTTGCGCTGGATGGGCCGCTGTGCTACAAAGTACCGTACCGGGCATGGAGAACCCGAACACAAGGGGGGAGGGGGGAGCAAAATTTTGTTACTTACTTGTACGAGTACTGTACACCCAACTTCAGACTCAGATTCTCGGGTTCCCCATGCCGGGTACTTGTGAACTTGCCTTACCATGGATCCAGTTCGCGGTACTGAACCTGGACCCTTCTCTCTCTCTTTCTCCCTCTCCCTCTCCCTCTCCCTCTCTCCCTCCCTATCTCGAGAGAGGGTTACCATATGTGAGAGCAGAAAAGCCGCGCCTAGGCGGTGGGGGGGGAAGAGGACAAGCGAAGAAGATGTGGAAAAAAAACACCATGACAGGGGTTCGGTTGGGTGGGGTGTTGTTGGGTTTGGTTGGATTGGGCTGTTTGAACACTGTTTTTGGGAAACTGGTGTGGAATTGGTAAGGGGCTGATCAATTACCCTTGTCTATATAGCACACACTTCCTCTCTCTCTCTCTCTCTCTCTCTTCTACTAATCGCGGGTACGGTTTTGCGATGTTGCGGTGGGTAACGAAGTGGAGAAAGCAGGACAATTGACGAGATACGAAGTGAAGAAAAAAGAAAAAAGAAAAGAAAAGTGAGAGGAGTGGCTCTCCTACTTTTTTTTCCTTTTCCCCACTCTCACTTTTTTCCTTGCCCCCTTGTCCTCGCTCGCCTTACACCCCGTTGCTCGTCCTTTGTTATTAGACGCGTGAGCTCTATCGCGTAGTATCGGCACCATTCCTATTAAGATGTGTATCAGGAATCGAATGTGGTACAGTGCGATACCTTTATCGCAATTTTCGTTCAGCTAGGTAGGGAAAGGAAGACGGTGCAATGCTTGTATCAAGTAATTAGATGTAAATTAGATTAAAGGTAGGAAGACTTTAAATTCCTCGAGCATGTCCTGGTGTGGAGTACAGTATGGTACAGTATGGTACAGTACCCGTGAAGTAAAACCAAAAAATTAATCAAGTTGAGCTGGATGGGCAGCAAGTACATTCCAACCCGCCACGGGAGGGTTTCTGATTAAGCTGTACGAAAACCCAGCACAACACAGGTCTCGGGATGAGCATATTATATCATGTCAAAAAGGGCTGATGATAACGAGGAAGTACTGGTTAGGTCGGGTCATATCTTTTAAGATTACCAGGCATGGTACCGTACCGGGTAGCGAACGACGGGAACCCTCCGTGAGATACTCGCGTCTAGACGCTCATTGTCCAGCTAGACATGTTCCCCCCCTCCCCCCCCCCACACACTCCCCCCAGCAGGGAAACAAGTTGCGGTTCTAATATCGAGCCTGTACCGGCGATTGGGCGAGATATCGGGCAGCTCTAGACCGTCAAACAAGGGTCTGATTCTCGCGTACGAATCCGATTGAGGACTACAAAGACGCGACACTCAGTGCTCTGCTAATTCGTCCATTCATTTCCTGGTAGTCCCATTTCTCACCGCGAGCCTGTCGAGGGAAAACGGAGGGGATAATAATCATCGGCATTCCGGAGTCTTGTCCCGAACTGCTATCATATTACCTGAGTTTTGCAACGAGAGGTCAAGTACCGGACCGTGAGCTGTCTGTCTTAGTGTGTGGTACAATGGCATAGCTCAATACTGATAAAAGCATTTTTCCCTGATGTCTTGTTTTCCTGTCCTCGACAAAATTTGCTTTTTGCTAAAAGAGTCCGGGCCGATTTTTTATTATTTTGTTTTTCGTGAACGACTGCGGTACTTTTCCGCAAGTTACTATTCTTACCGTTATATTCCAGGTCGACCGGCACCAAGTATATATGGTTAATCCCCGAAGTCTCATAAAACCCTTCGCACCGCAAACTGAAAAGGCTTCTGGGTTTTTTTTCTTCCGGGTGGCTCCCCTCAGTTATCTTTCCTCCTACTTTATCGTTGTGGGGGAGAGCAATTAGAAAAGGAGACAAGGCCTTACTGCATTGCGAGCATCGATTCAAGAATCCTTGCGCCTTATCATAGGGCAGGGGGAGCTTGGAATGTGTGGTCCCTGCTCCTCCAAAAGCCTACATACCACAAGGGTTTTGAGCGCGCGTGTTTTGGACGGCTGTGATACTCTCTACTCGAGTAAATCACTCTGCACGGTAATCGCACAATCGGCGTCTGGATACACGAGAAAAACTGACAATGATTGGTACGCCCACCGTTTTCCTCAGGACAGTATCTCCTGAGCGGAATTAACCAGATTCCTACCCAGCATAGCGGTCAAGTTGAATACCGGTCGTAAGTGCCTCTGAGTTCTCTGTCGGTTGCGCAACGGGTGTACTACAGTGCTCCTCGATTATGTGACATTCCAAGATCCGGGTGACCCGGTGTCATCACGGTGCTACAGGCTTATAAAGTGCGGTGCTGGATGTGTACTGTACGAGTACTGTGCACGGTGTGGCACTTTATTCAGACCGAGTATTCCGAATTTTGCTCTCATGGTGGTGCCTCTACGGGTGTTCTGCTGGTTATTGTGTTTATCTTCCCGGGTTCGCATCCTCGGGGCTTCAGCGAATTTGCTGGAAAAATCGCTGCGCTGTTGTGCGAACTTGATCATACCGATCACTTGGGTGGGGAACTTCCGACACCGGCACTACCTATCCGACATGGGGTCAAACAAGCATTTCCCCCGTTGCGATGGGATTGTGGAAGGGTACCCGATCCGGGAATCTATGATACCGGTTTCCTCCCCCCCAACTTTTCGGTGGATCAAAAACAAAATTAGAGGGTGATCACTTTTGGATGACCTAGGCCACTTTTGTACACCAGAGAGGGCAAAAAAAGGTCCCGTGCTCAAGCGAGTCCATTTACCGGTACCGCTGGTTTTTGGGTTCGCGAGTGTGTAACCCTACCCATTGACGGCCTTGATCCCTTTTGAGGAAAGCATGGTATCCTTGCTTACACCCCTCCCCGCCCCCACCGCAACTGTTGAATGACTACGAGTACCGTACTCTGATTGAGTGAGAGCCCCTGGAGGGAGGAGAGTAGATTTATTTTCACTCATACGTTTACTACGCGGAGCCAGGTGAGTACCCGAGTGGCTAAACGGGCCATCTTTTTCCGCTCAACTTCGGAACTTGCTGATGGTTCAGATGCTCGTCGTGCTTCTGGGTGCGGATACAAAACCGTAGGAGTGAGCCGGTTGCCTGGGGCTGAGAAATTGCGAATAAGCGTTTGGGGGATTCTGCCGACTCCGCTCGACTGACCTTGCAGCAACAGTGCTTGCTCCGGTAATAGCACTGTCATACGAGGGCCCTTCCGTAGGAGCTGTCTTAAAAATTGGCGCTAGGTATTACCCAAGCTTTTTGGACTCCCGGAATTGAAGGGTTCCTCCTCCCGTGCCGGCTAAGCACCCTGGCTACTGGGGAGTGTTACCGAGTGATTACCCGTGATCCCAGAGAAAAATTTTTCCGGCATGCCTTGGAGAAGGCCACCGGGGAGTTTTTTCGGGAGTTTTTTTAGGAACTTTATATGGGCTAATTTGGGACAAATTGGTAGGGCCGATCGAGGCGAGCATTGGACTACCGTGCTGTCAAGATGCGGGCGAGAGAGAGGTTGGGTTATATAAAACTAAGTTGGGCTATAATTGCTCGTGGGTGTTCACACTCCCTCCACCGAACCACCCGCATAAGTCTTTCTCTTCCAGCCACACCATCGCTCCGCCTTATGTCATTAACGGTTACATCTCTGACGCCTCCTGTCTTTCAAAGGACAAACTGTATCATTTTGATGTCCTTTACTATGAGTACTTTTTTATATACCGGCAGTAGGCGGGGTAACTCATACGAGGACGGAGCTCCACGACCACAATCCCTCTTAACCCGCATTTGCCTTCCTATTTAGGAATGCTAGAATATGGGGTTCAACAACACAAATACACAAAAATCTCATGATCCTACCCTATCCGGTACACTGAGCTTGGAGCTTCATTGGTGGTGCCGGGGTTGCCATCCTCGTGGGATAAGACATCATCCTTGGCACTCCTACTTCTGTCACGCAAATAGGCTGGCATCACTCTACTCCGTCTACTCCGAAGTCTGTTGCCGAAAGCCACTTGCAAGACCTTCCGAACACACAAGTAGTACAACCGGGTATATACAGTTCGAAAGCGGGCTTCACTAGTTTGGGATTGGATGCGCTTAAAAGTTTTGTTTGAAACAAATAGTTCACCTTGACTGTAGCCTGTTCTGAGCCATTTATGATAGCATTAGTTTCGATCTGGGCTTTATCTGCCATGGGGCGCTTCCCTCATGTAAGGTTTGTCGCTCTGGGAAGTGCCGTCACGTACGAGTACTCGGGTGTCAGGGTATTCAGGGGCCGGTAACACAAGTCCTTGCCCAGCTCGCTGCTCGTGAGCGCCGGTAAGCCCCGCTTCTCCTTTCGGAAGTGGCCCGACTTTTTGCCGACACCAAAGCGATACTCATTACTTATCACTCGAACTTCCTAACCTGGTTTAGTATACAAGTACTGTACACATGAAATGCCACATCTCCTTTCGGAAGAGGACCCGACTTTTGCCAACAGTGCGATGCTACGGATTCGAAAAGAAAGTAGGAGAAAGAATGTAGCGATGGTGCGGAGACCTGACGGTCGTTGTGTAGCGATGGGCTGTACGAGCACTGTACTGTACAATTGCACCCCCTCAATCTCGGGTCTCGCTCGACCGGATACCTTGCTGGACCGTATAGTCGTCGCTGTGGGAGCCCCCGATCCTCTCTCGCGAAAGCGGTCGCCGGACCGGTTCGAATGAAATTCGAGTGCACCTTACTCACACCCGGCTCATGTACAACTCTGTCCGGCTGGTCCGTATTCCGGTACCATAGCCATATCAAAAAGGACTGTTCTTGGAAGTGGGGGGAGATGGAGAAAGAATGGAAATATGATAATTGGGTAACAGACCGGCTCGGTAGTATCGGGGGACGCAGGTTTTTCCATTCTTTTGTTTTGGGGGGGGAGATAATAATTTGGATTTGTAAACTGAAAGGGAGAATTCCGGGGGGTTGCGACTGGGTTTTTGAAAACAAAAAAAAAACAAAAAAACAGTCATTAATATTGGTATGATAGGAGCAGTCTTCCTCCTCAGCTGTCCCGTATGTCCCGATGTATGATACCGAATGGAATCCTGAAGTTTTGGCCGGTTGGGATGACGGAGTGCGATTGTGCCCGCGCACACCTTGCGAATATCCTGTTAACGGTGTCACACGCCTTTGGAGTAGATACAGCTGGGAAACTATTAAGGGAGAAGTACCACGTTCGTCGAAAGAAATACATGGGTTATGCATTGGGTTTGATGGCCAGTGAAGGTTCTCAACAAGCTCGAAGACTAACCTCCCCAACACACACCAGCCCATCTCACCTTGGGGATCGTCTGCCACCTTCTTGATCTCCTCTCGGCTTCAATGGATGGTGGGTATTTAAAGTCTTTGAGTATGATAAGTGGGCAAACAGAGTGTGCATGATGATTAACCCCACCCTTTCACACAAACACCACGAGGATCTCGAGCGAGAGCTAAGGTCTTCAATGCAGCGGCTTATTCGGTATTTAAGAAGACGACCGGATAAAGAAAAAAGGATACAAAAGCTGGTGTCATTGAAAGGAAAGTATCAATCATAAAACAGTCTCAAACCTTGTGCATCCTGGATACAGTGACTAGACAAAAGTCTTGGTGATTGTGCCATATGAGACAAAGTCCGTGCCCTGAAAGGTATTGCACAATCCTATAACGGTAAAAAAAAATTGATATTAAAAATTACGGTACATGTAAACATCCCACTCAGCCTTAGTATTTCATATACCACCCCTTAGCTTCAATCACTGCAGCCACACGCGAAGGCATGGATTTCCAGAGCTTTTCAAAGACACTCTCCGGTATTGTCTCCCACACCAATGGTAAGACCACCGCCAATCGATCTCGCACTCTCTCAGGACTACCAGGGGTATTCAGGATATCGGGATACTGTTTATACAATCGGCGTTTAAGCTCAACCCATGCGTATTCAATCGGGTTGAGATCAGGTGAAAGTGGGGTGTGATCTTCCAACTCAATTCCATTCTCAGTAAGCCACACCATGGTGTTGCGAGCTGTGTGCACCTTTGCGTTATTCTGCTGATAGAGAGGATCTCCGACCTCATCTGCGATCTCCTGCATAGGTGGCCCTAAATGGGCATCCAATAGTCTAATATAGACATATCTATCCACAGTTGCATCCCTAATTGGGACTAAAGGACCTAGGCGCTTTCCCCAAAAGCAGCCCCAAGCCATTAGGCCGGCCTCATTGGTCTTCCCCCTAGGCTGAATGCAGTCTGATAGCCACTTTTCAAGTGGTGATCGAAATACCCAAATGCGTCGAGGATCTGCCGATTTTTGAACCATACACTCGTCACTATAGAGGATACCCTGAAAGTCTTCTGCAGTCCAATTCTTCCGGGCAAGGGCTCATTTTAGCCTAGCCTTAGCATGTCTTGGTTCCAATGTAGGTCTTGTTTATGCAAGCCACTTTTTAACATTGGCTTCTCGGAGAACACGATCAATGGTGTGAATTGAAACATGAGGGGTGTATCGGTTCTGGAGTTCTAAACGGGTCATCGCACAATCTCATTTGGCAGCTCTGACAATCGTGTGCTTTTCTCGGTGACTAAGGAGCTGGGGACGACCCGATTGGGGTTTATTATCCATGGATCCGCGAGCACATGTGCGTGCAAGAAAGTTCCGAACTATTGACCAAGGGCGGCCGACCAGATTGGCAACGGTCGAGATTGTTTGAAAGACATAGAAAAAGGCAATGATCATGCCTTTTTCAGCATCTGTCATCTCTCGGCAGGCTGTTTTAGGCTGATGAGCTTGTTTAGGAGGCATTGTATAATTGTTTTTAGTGGTGTAACATGATAGATCTCCAGGAGAGTGTGTACGCGATTTTAAAGGGGGATCATATTGTGTTCGCTTAGCTGTTGCTGACTAAGCGATTACCAAGACTTTTGTCTAGTCACTGTAACTACTATACGTACGTATTGAGTACGAGTACTGCTGGTAGATGAAACAGCGCCGGCTTTTTGTGAAGTGGGGAGCGGAGAGAGGAGGTATCAAACTAGGGGTAGGAACCAAAGCAGGCTGCGGAGTGATGTCCACATATCGACCCCGATACAGTATTGCTTTCTTCCCTCCCTTGGAAGGCAGCTACGGTATGTTCTGAACCCACTACTGTGACTTCTAGACCTTCACCATCCCCTGTGCGAGTCGCTCCATCTCGCTATAGACAATAAGAAACGATGCATTTGTAGATTACACCGTCATGGTATCTGGTAGTAATTTTGAAAGAAAAGAATCATTTCCTTCACCGACAAATCTTCAATCCCACCCTCAAGGCTGTGGGGATTACCAAATGGTCGTCTGATATAGGCCCATTCGGAAGTGTTGCGGGAGTTTATCAGAATGCCGGTAGCTTCATGCGGTGTTGTTTGAGGTCCTGGAACGGTCTCACAATGAAGCGGTATTATTATTGCGATTCAGGAATAGGCATTCAAAAATAATATTGGGAGAAGAAAATACAAAGGTGGTATTACTAGCATCAATAACGGACATCTTAGAAGCAAGCCTTCACCTATCACTATCAGTAAGCTAGGGACAAACTACACCAGCACTAGTAATACTAAGAACCTTCCCGCAATACTCTTGTTAGGCAGAGACGACCTGTATAGACTCAGGATCGTCTAGGCCAATTGAGTTT